TATCCCCTGTGTGCCTTGTCGACTCAGTTTTAACTATATATATTTTATCTTCTTGACAACTTCTATTTAGCAGATGTATCACTGGTATATATCTGTTACTAATAAATGTTCATAGATCATCACGAAGCAACAGTTCCCGGACGATCATAAAGGTTAAGCAGCGTTGGACTAGGTACATAACTTGGATGGGTGACCGCTTAGAAATACAAACTAAAATTAGTTTCCAAACCTATTTTTTAAATCATAATTTTGTCGTGTGTATTTTCTTTTATTTTCTGGTATATAATGCTAATTAATAAAATTTTGCGATCGTTCTCAGAATATTCCTGTGCTGTTAAGGTTTACGTTTACATTATATTTTAATGTTGCTGCAACATTGTATTGCAATATTTCTAAAGGCGGACATTTTACCGTTGCTGCAATGTTGTAACGACGTTGCAGCAACATTTTGCAACGTTTTTGCAACATTGCAATCTTGCAAGGAAAGATTGCTACAATTTTGCTGCAATCGTTCTGTGCTGTATGGGTACCATTTTACGATCTTTGCAATAGTTATCGAGATACTAATCATTTTAAAAAAAGAAAAAATTTTACATAATGGCCAAGTTTTTGCTTCACTATAATTCTATTGATCATTTTAATAACTTTAAATCTGTTTTACGAAACTTAAAGTTATTTGGAAAGACAATGGCATTAACTTTGCTGCATATAATTTTAAATAATTTAAACAATTTATTAAAAAAATATTTTTATCTCTATATGTCTATAATCAAATACTTGACAATTTGTATGATCTCATATTTGTTTTTGGATAACTTTTATTTGTTAAAATAATATTTTTAGTTTAGATAAGATGTACCTAACGTATGCTACACTTGTATATACTTTGCGTAAATTTTTTTTTTATGATTATAGTATCTCGATAACTATTGCGAAGATCGCAAAATGGTAGAGGACTTTTTTGTTCAGTTTGGTCCATACTACCTCTCCACAAGCGCTACCATTGAGACACCGGCCTGTATATGTTTATATATATTTATATATATGTTCTTATATGTATATGAAAAATTTTATATATATATTAAGACATATTATGTTAATTCTATACTTTGGACTCCACTTTTTTCCCGTTTCCAAACGTGAAAATGGTTCAATTTTTTATCTGCTACACTGACTTTTATAAATATACTTTGATAATTATTTTTAAATATACTTTGATTTATATTTTTACTTATATGATATATGTATGTATAATCGATTTGTATTTTATACGTCTGACTTCCGATCTATATATTTATATATGTTTGTAACCAACTATCGATAACACAGCGCTTACTATACATTGATTAGTACACAGTGGGTCAAGCAGTATAACCTCAAACCTGTATGAATCCTGATGGATTTGTGATGGATATTGTGCGACGCAAAGTTAATAAATAAACGGATACATTCGCCGTCAAAATCAAGCCGAACATCGATCTGAATTAGATTTCGGGTTTCGTGACCTTTTAACAGTTTTCGAGCCCACAAGAATGTTATAGGAAGGCACCTGCTGTCACATTGATGTAACGTCTGTTTGCTGTTATTGTTATATTTTTTGACAAGCAACTCAGCTATAAGATCGTGCTAAAATAATTTACGATATTTATTTCAGATCGTTATTCCTGTTACGCCGCTGATAAACGGGAACACCCTCCCTCTCTCTCTCTCTCCCTTTCTAAATGAAAAAATGTCAGCTCTACTCTTTTACACGTCATTCTATTTTCTGATGTCCGGATGTATCGTCTACCCGCCGACGGAATTCGTCTCGGCGGGCTTGACCGTCAAGGACGTCTTTGCGAATTGGCTCGGTAGTGAGAACGAGTTTTTCATACAGTATCACATTAGGAGGAGCATAGCCACGCTATTCCTACACTCCGCGCTACCTTTGGGTAAGATAGACGTTTCTCTCTAGGAGTAACTGCCCTTATTAGTGTGCCTGTACGTTTTAATGTGCTTTTATATTTAAATAAGTCATAAAAATAAACTGGTACAAATAAATAAAGTGTTTTTTTTTATTATAAGTTAATACTTTAACTTAATAAAAAAAAACACTGTCTATTTATTTACAAATAAGTACAAATAGGTACAAATAAATAGACAAAGTGTTTTTCTTTTTATTAAGTTAATACTTTAACTTGATAAAAAAAAAACACTATTTATTTGTACCAGTTTATTTTTATTGGTAAGAATAAACTGGTACAAATAAATAGACAAAGTGTTTTTACTTAATAAAAAGAAAAACACTGTCTATTTATTTGTACCAGTTTATTTTTAAGTCATAAAAATAAACTGGTACAAAATAGACACAGTGTTTTTTTTATTAAGTTAATACTTTAACTTAATAAAAAAAAACACTTTATAAACACTTTATAAGTTAAAGTATTAACTTAATAAAAAAACACTATTTATTTGTACCAGTTTATTTTTATGACTTATTTAAATATAAAAGCACACTAATAGGGACAGTTACCCTAATTACATTCAACATCTCCACCTTTGACAAGTATTTCTCACAATCTCTTCTCTGCGATCTTCACAGGCTACGTTCTTGGATTGCTCTTCTTCGGACATGTCGACGCCGGGAAACTGTTACTAGCCGATGGAAATTACCTCGGACCGTTGGTCGTCCTTTGCGTCACAATCGCTCCGCTTTACATGCTGAACAAGGTCCTCGAGTGGTCCGCCCACGATTGGGCCACGCATCCGATAGCGCAAAATCTATCTGTGTACAGTAACAATAACACGCCGTGGACGGCTGTCGCGTCGGACATTAACACAGAATACCGAAGGTTCATTCAAATAGCTAGCTTAATAACTTAGGAAACTTAAAATCACGCGCGCACATTCACGTTTATGCGTACCATCGTGTTGTAAGTACATGTATATTTTATACTAAAGTAACACAATTTTATTTTAGAATAGATAAAATTGTTATTGTCACAAATAGCGTAACTCGTGTCGTAGCGACGGACAATTGGATTATTAAGATCACGCCTTATAAGTTGCAAGTGGCGCATCAGAGCGACGCGACCCTGGTCGTGAATAAGAGCGACGTTCATTACATGTCGCCCACAACGAGAGATCAGGTTCAGTTCATCAATATACAGGTGCTACACACAGGCAATAACTGCTTCAGGCAAAATTGCTCTCGATTGTCTCAATGAAATATCCCACGTGTTGTGCTTTCCCCAGGTGAAACCCATGCGAGCTATGGCGCAGGAGTTCGACATAAGATTGAATGCGTTGGATTTCAAGGATCTGCAGGACCGAGTTTCACGGCCGATCGCTGTACTGCAGAATATAACGTTCCACAGAACTTTACTCGACAGATTTATCGACACTTTCAAGGAGGAGGTCGATAAAAACCCGTTCTACGATACTGCCGAGGTAGTAAAACAGTTGTTATATACCTGTGCGTCACTTCAATTATCTCTTCTCTTGTCTCCGTTTGTCTTCAATTATTAATTCGTGCATATGTATTTATAGGAGCTAGGTCAATGCATCGGATGTATGCAAGCGCTGTCGAATGTAAAGTTGAACAGATTGTGCAGCAGTGCCGAAACCAGAGACCATGATGACTGCACGATATGTTACTGCCGTCCAATGTGGTGTATAGAATGTATGGCGAAATGGTTAGTGTACCTTTTGTTATTATTATTATTAATCTCGATTATTTCTATTTATGTTAAATCGCGTATATTCGGATAGTTTAGATTGTTAATATTATCATACCGTATTATTTGAACACACAGGTTTGCCTCGAGACAAGATGAGAATGCGCCGGAAACGTGGTTGTCCTCCAAATGTACCTGTCCTCTCTGCAGAGCACGATTCTGCGTTCTAGATGTGTGCTACGTGAGAAATCCTAACAATTAACATCAAAATAATGGGCATTATTTTGAACTGTTCTTATGAAAAATAATTGTTTGTATCAATTTTAATACAATTTTTTAAAAGAATAACGTCCAAGATTCATTTAAGTATAAAAATTTTTTTACACATAAACCATATATCGCCGCGTTGATACAAAAGTGACACGTCTCAAAATTAACAACTTTCACTGGAGTATTAATGAAATTCTGAATTTTTTGGAACTTTTTTATCGGCTTATCTTTTAATACTTTTTCACTCAGACTAGTAGAATTTTATTTTTACAGCTATAAATTATTATTTAAGCTAAAAGATTTAGAAAAAACATTTTTTTTTAATTTCTAAAATTAATCTCCTTAAGAAAAATGGCACAACTTTAAAGAAAACGTTTTTTCTATAACTTTTTCGATACCGACATCATAATACATAAAAAATGTCTCAAGTCAAAATGTCATCAGAAAATGTCTCAAATTTGATCAGAAGACAAGTTACATTTCTGCCTTTTGGCAGTAAATTGGGAAAACTAGTTTAATTATTATAGTTTATTATAGTTTTATATATATAGGTATATATATATATATATATATATATATATATATATATATAGTTATTATAGTTTTATTATTTTGTATACAAGTCTGTTTTCCAAAAAAATATATTAGTCTTTAGAGTCAACTTCCTATTAACTCAAAAATGCTAATTTTTTACTTGTGTCACTTTTTATGACAGGTTAACTTTTGCCGAAATTAATAATTGGCAGAGTGAATCAATTTTATTATCACAAACATTAAATCTGAAGGTTAATCTATGTATAAAGTTCACTACCATTTCAGTAATAATAAATACCTGTTGATATCATGTTATGAAACTTAAAAGTTGTTTTTCAATCTGTCTTTCATGTTTCATTGTACGACAATATTGTATGCAAACTGTATATATACAATAAGTCGGTGATATTTTTACATAATAAAAATAAATTATTTACAGAGGACTGGAGCTCCTTCAGTGTATCATAAGTCTAGGTGCGATATTCATTGCCATTAGCTCTTGGAAAAGTAACTTCGCCGCGTACGGCAATCTAACTTGCGAGATTTGCGTCTTGTTCTTGCATCCTTTGCACTCGAAAGTGTTGTTGCGCAAATTTGCGATAGCAATTAAGCCGCAGAAGTTGCATATGTGAATTCTATATGGATCCGACACTTCGAACAGACGTTCTCGTAGAAATTGCGCTGCGCCGTGAGAGATTTGACAATCCCGCTCCATCTCTCCGAAACGAAGTCCACCGTCCCTAAACAAATAAGTATATACATTCACATTTGGATCAGTGTGACGGATTATACTGTATTAAGGCCATCTCACTGAGGCCTCAAAATGATACCCTAGTTTGGGATTTTTTGTGGGTAAATAGATAACTTTATTTAAAAGCTATTTAGGGAACATCGTTGTACATATATAAGAAACTAAAAAATATATATTTTTTTATTTTTTTATAAAATGGCGGCGCACTAGTTTACTTGGGAAATCTCTTTTTTCTGTTTTTTTCAAATCGGTGTACAGGATTCCAGGGCACACGATTTGATCGTGAACAAAACACAAAGAATTTTCATTATTTACATATTAAAGACTATAGAAGTACGCAGGGTTTTTTAACATATTGATTTTTTCTCAAAATGGCAGCTATTTTACGAAAGACTCGTATTAACAAAAATACGAACTTTTCGTAAAAATAGCTGCCATTTCGAGAAAAATCAATATTTTGAAAAACCTCTACGTACTTCTATAGTCTTTAATATGTAGATAATGAAAACCGTGTGCCTGGAATCCTGTACACCGATTAGAAAAAAAACAGAAAAAAAGGGATTCCGCAAGTGTAAACCAGTGCGCTACCATTTTAGACATAAGAGAAATAAAAAAATATTTGATTTCTTATATACAATAATATCCTCAGAACAGATTTTAAATAAAGTTTATCCATTTATCCACAAAAAAATCTCAAACCTAAGGTATCATTTTAAAACCTCAGAGGTGGGCCCCTTCAAATAACAAGAGAATAACGGCACACAATTTACCTCGCTCGACCCTCCATAGGCTGTCTAACTAAAATCTGCACAGGTCCTCTCGCTCTACTGTGGATCTTATCGTCTACCATATGCTTCAAACGTTGATAATACGTCGGGCCCAAAAAGACTTGCGCGTTGATTTTACGGCCCGTATGTCCGTTGTACATCACCTCGTTTCCACGCAACTGATAACCGTATTCTTGCAAGAGCGTGGAAATCTTTTGCACATTCACGGCATCGTTAAACGGCGTAGCGTCACCGATCTCACCTGAGAACGCGTCAAAAATTCGTATAAGCATGTTTATCTTGGAGTTGTGTACAATCGAAGAGACGTAATTTTCGTCTAAAATGAAAAAACTAAATTTTTTTCTTAATTTTTATAAAATTATCTTCTATACAATCTAACAATATTACAAAAGTTAAATTAAACAATTTTTTTGTAAAAGAAGGTTCAAATTTTTTCATGAAAATTTTAACTTTTTTTTTTTAAGTGTCATAACTTACCCAATAATTGAAAATTTTAATGTTTTCTTAGTTTATATAGAAGATAATTTTATAAAAATTAACAAAAAATTTAGTTTTTTGTTTTAGACAAAAATTACGCCTCCTAGATGTACACAATCGAACAACTCCAACGGCGCGATATTATCAACAAATTCTATTATTTATTACAAAAACATGTTATTTATTAATAAAAAAAATTGTTTCATTGCCCAAATATACAGTAAAATACTGTTAAACTTTTAAAATTATTCAGTTTAGTTGAAAAAAAAATTCTTAAAAATCACTGTTTATGTAGTCTTATAGAGTTCCTCCTTAAACTCAAGTAAATGCTCGTATTTTTTTTACCTTTATTGGCAGAAACCTTCCCCTGGATGCATTCTATCAAGTGACCGATAGTCATACGAGAGGGGATAGCGTGAGGATTGATAATAATGTCGGGGGTAAGACCCTCGCATGAGAACGGCATGTCCTCCTGCCTGTACTGAATCCCGCATGTACCCTTTTGCCCGTGACGCGACGCAAATTTGTCGCCGATCTGCGGAATGCGTACGCTGCGCACGCGGATCTTGCAGAATTTGTATCCCTCGCTGTTCAGCGTCAACATCACCTGATCGACTATACCGGTCTCGCTGTTTCGCAAGAAAGTCGACGCGTCGCGTTTCGTAAAACGCTTCGTTGTACTATCCAGCTAAAGGAAACAAAAAAAAGAAATAAAATATTGCCATCGTTCTTTTCCTCCATTAGTAAAGTCTATATATTTTATTGTTTGAAGAATAATTAAACTGGGTGCTTATCAAAATCTTGTAAAAAAAATTCTCTGAGAATTGCCGGATTTTCAGATAATTTTCATTTAAAATTTTAGATTAAATTTGAAATAAATGAAATGAAATGTAAATAACGCAAAAGAAATTATATATAATTGTAAATTAATAAAAGATGATTAATTTACAATTATATATAATTTCTTTTGCGTTATTTACATTCCCAATTTATTTCAAATTTTATCTAAAATTTTTAATGAAAATTACCTGGAAAATCCGAGAATTCTCAGGGATTTTTTTTTACAAGATTTTGATAAACACCCAGTGTAATCCTTGTCTTCAAGGATTACACAAGATTTTTTTCTACAATTGGAGCCGCGAAACTTATAGAACAGAGAAGTTCACTATAATATTAGTGAGCTACTCTTTTCTGCTACCATCCTGATTTTTTAAATAAAAACTTGCAAGATACATAAGAATGTATGCACATGAATGTATGCGGTTGCCATACTTACTGTTAACATTGTTAATATTTTGCACTTTATCAAGAAAATTTATCAAGAAAAAATTGATCAAAGAAATAATCTTTTTCAGAAAGAGATAAAATTTCAATTTAAATTTGAAAGTTTCCTAAGCACCAAGAAAATCTGATTTTCAAGAGTAAAAAGGAAATTCCCCGCAAAACTCGCAAGTTCTTCAGGTAGTTAAACACCCTGTCGAAGGACAATTACTTTACCTCATCGTCCGTTTCCGGCAAAGTGATCGTCTTTCCTATGATCACGTCGTCGCCCGACACTCGAATTCCAGGCGCGATAATTCCGTCGTCGTCCAACTTGTCGTATATAGCGTTACGCATTCCCTGGCAAGTCAGGCGCGACGGTTTCTCGAACTGCTCCTCCTGATCGCCGATCTTCTTCGACTCGGCCTCCTTGTAAGAACGATAAAATACCGATCTGAAGAAGCCCCGCTCGACGGCGCTCGCATTCAGGATGACGCTGTCCTCCTGATTGTATCCCGTGTAACACAGGATCGCGACGATGCTGTTAATGCCGGCCGGTAACTCGCGGAACCTGAGGTACTCCATGGATCTTGTCGTGACCAACGGTTTGTGAGGATAGTACAGCACGTGGGCCAAAGTATCCATGCGCACGTGAAAGTTCGTAATGTACACGCCCATAGCTTGTTTACCCATGGCGCTCTGAAAAACAACAGCCAATACGTTACTATATCTCATGAAAAAAAAAAAGTAAACAGATCAAAGAAAAGCGCACGGAGAAAAATAATTTTGCTGTTGTAGCAAAACTGTAACTGCTACTACATATTCGTAATGGCAGCGACGAAATTTAGTTGACATAACTAATTTTCCAAATTATTCGTTATTAGAGCAGAATCTGTACTGGAATAAAACCAAATGAAATGTATCGTTGCATTAATGCAGCAAAAAGCTTTGATGATTGGAACTAAAAGTTGTTTGTTCTTACAACAAAATAATTTGTAGTTTTAGCAAAATCATACCTAGCAAACAGCAATTAGTTACAAATCTCTTTACTGTCCTGTATAAAAACTGACAGAATTTGCTACAACAGCATAAAATCTGTTGTGCTAGCAAATTATTTTTTTTCCGTGTGATTAAAATCTGCGCGTGATACCTGATAGGTGTTCCTAGGACTCTGATTGTGATCGGGGAACGGTATGATAGAAGCGCACACGCCCAAAATCATCGCCGGATGAATCTCGCAGTGCGTATACGTCGTACAATACGCATATTCCTTGTCCTGTCTGAGGTCATCGGGTGACATGGCTATCATTACGGTCTCTTCCTCCAGGGTGTCTATGTATTCCACTACTCCGCTACCCACTAATTCTTGCCATCTGTAACACGGATCATAAATCGATCATCGTGACATTTGTGAGAGACATAAAGACGAATCCAGGGTGAGTACTCAAATTTTGTAAAAGAATTCCTTGAAATTTATTTTAAAACTGTATTAAGAAATTCTATGATATTAACTCGACTTTTGAATAAAATTCCCGGATTTTCCAGGAATTTTATTCAAAATTCGAGTTAATATCAGAGAATTTCTCAATACAATTTTAAAATAAATTAAGCACTAAGAGTTCTAATAACGTGTAGAACTTGGTGCGTGAAACAATTTAATCTTCTCATATGTACAATAGTCACATTTCCGTACAAAATTTTTCGAACGTAACAAAAGATTTTGTATGGAGATGTAACTACATTTGTGAAAATTAAATTGTTTCATGCATCAAGTTCTGCG